AGGGGTGGAAAATGAGACTCACTTATTTGGTTGGAAATGGGGATTCTTTTATGGTGGGTTTTGGTGGGTTATGCACGGCCCAGGTGGGGAAACAAGGAAGGAGGGAGATGGCAGGCCTTTTGGCTTCTTATGAGTTGGGTTTTCTTGATGAATTATGAGCCAATATATGCTGAATTTTTCTTGGCCTGTTATGGTTGTTTATTCAGCTTGGTTGAGGGAACACTAGGGGACCACTGCTAGTACACATTGGAGAAATAATGGGTTGGGTTTTGGCTCCTAGTTTTTGGCCATTCCAGGGAAAAGAAAAGGGTTTGTGGATTTAGCATGTGGTTTGAAGTGTGATGAGGTGTTGTGGGGGTGTGTGTGGGTTCGGCCAGGGTAAAAAAAAGGAAGGGACTTGGGTTTGATTTGGATATTTGGGAGGGGTGGTTTTGGGTGGTACTTTCGGCCATCAAGGTGGGGGAAGGTCCAACAGGACCAGGGTCGGGTTATATGGTTTATGGGTGATGTATTCATTCCAAAAAGGATTAAAACACTTGGACATTATTCCACAGATTTGTTTAAGGGCTCGAGGATCGTTGTTGGTGGTTGGGGGTATATCATCCTCCCCTTCTTTAGAAGAGTTTGTCCTCAAATTCGGTAGTTCCTCAGGCTCGAAGTACGGGCTGATATCTTTGATACTGAACGTGGCCGATACTCCGTAGTTTCCCGGAAGGTTGACCTTGTAGGCATTGTTATTGATCTTTTCTATGATTTCGAATGGGCCATCAGCCCTCGGTAACAGTTTGGATTTGCGTTTGGTGGGAAAACGCTCTTTTCTAAGATGGATCCACACCAAGTCTCCCGGTTGGAAACTCGTGTTCTTTCTCCTTTTGTTGATTCGGGTGCTGACTTGTTCGTTCACTGCTTCAATCTTGTCTCGGACCTTGTTGTGACGGTCTTGAATCTCCTTTGATCTCTTGTCTGCTTCCCAACTGTATTTGGTGTCCGTCAAGATAGGATCAAGCTCAAGCGGGGTCAAGGGGTTGGAACCATATACAATCATGAAAGGGGACAGACCGGTCGTCTTGCTCGGGGTGCGGTTGTAGGCAAATTCGGCATGTGGTAGTAGTTCTTCCCATTGTTTGATGTTTTTCTTTATGAGGGCTCGGAGAAGGGTTCCGAGAGTCCGGTTGGTGACTTCCGTTTGTCCATCGGTTTGGGGGTGGCTTGACGTACTAAACTTGAGTTTAGTACCTAATTTTCTCCAGAGGGTCATCCAAAAGTGGCTAAGGAATTTTGTGTCCCTATCCGAGACCATGCTTCGGGGAACGCCATGGAGTTTTACGATCTCTCGGAAGTAGAGATCAGCCACTTTGGATGCATCATAAGTTGTCACACATGGTACAAAATGAGCCATTTTTGAAAAACGATCATGATGGAATCCTTGCCACGTTGTGTTCTTGGTAGCCCGGTAATGAAGTCTAGGCTCACGTCTTCCCATGGAGCAAAAGGCACGGGCAAGGGTAGGTGTCTTCCTTGAGGCAGCGCATGGCTCTTGGCGAGGTGGCAAGCGTTGCATCGTTTCACAAAGTGCTCTACGTCCCGCTCCATCTTCGGCCAGTAGTAGTGCTCTCTCATCATCATGTGGGTTTTGTCAATCCCATAATGACCAGCTAGGCCTCCTCCGTGTACTTCATCAATAAGGGTTTCTCGAACACTGCATTTCGGGATGCAAAGTTGGTTGCCTCGGAAGAGAAAACCATCCTTGATTAGGAATTCTCCATGTGGCCGAATAAGGAACTTGGAATAAGTGTCCTTGAAGTCTTCATCCTCTTTGTAAAGCTCCTGCAAAAAACTCAAAACCAACAAGTTTGGTACTAAGTACCGTTAGTAATAAATGCCTCCGGGACAAGGCATCGGCGCCCTTGTTCATGGTTCCGTTCTTGTGTTTGATGGTGAAGGTGAAGGTTTGGATATACTCGACCCATTTAGCATGCCGAGGTCGGATTTTATGTTGCCCTTGGATGTATTTTACGCCTCTTGGTCGGAATGTAAGATGAATTCCTTGATCACGAGATAATGGCGCCAATGCTCAAGTGATCGTACCAATGCGTAGAACTCCTTGTCGTATGTGGAATACCTCCTTCTTGTGTCGTTTAGCTTTTTGCTAAAGTACGACACCGGGTGCTCTTCTTGGGATAGGACAGCCCCGATTCCAACTCCCGAGGCATCCCACTCGACCTCGAATAGTTTGTCAAAACTAGGAAGGGCTAACACGGGGGCATGTGTTAATCGCTCCTTGATTGTTTCAAAGGCCTGTTGGGCCTTGGAGTTCCACTCGAACTTCTGATTCTTCGTCAAATCCGTGATAGGTGCCGTGATGGTGCTAAAATCCCTCACGAATCTCCGGTAGAAAGAGGCAAGACCATGAAAACTTCGAACTTGTTGCATAGTGGTGGGGGTCGGCCATTCTCTAATGGCTTGCGTCTTGTTTTCGTCCACCCGTATGCCTTCACTTGAGATAAAGTATCCCAAGAATTCTATTTCATACGAAAAGAATTGGCTCTTCTCGAGGTTGCCGTAGAGTTTCTCCTCGTCCAACTTCTTAATCACCAAAGTGAGGTGATTAGCATGATCTTCCTCATTTTTGCTATAAATCAGAATGTCGTCAAAGTAGACAACAACAAAATGACCTATAAATGGCTTCAAGACCTGATTCATAAGCCGCATGAACGTGCTCGGGGCATTGGAAATTATATTTCTTGAGAAATCTGGAATTTAATTAAGTCAAGTCCAGTAGTTTGATAATTGATCTTTAGATATTGGATTGATTGTTAAGTAAATATTTGAAGAGGTGTTTACTTACTAGTAAAATGATTTAAGGTAAAAGTAACTGGTGATTTTACTCTAAAAAGAACCATCACCTAAGCAATAATTACATCCCTACCTTTTATTTCTGAAAGATAAAAATTCAATCTCCATTCCTTATTCGACCTTTTGAAAACTTTTTGATTCATTCAGTAAATCTTGTCTAACTAGTCTTGCTTAATGTTAGACAAATGTGCAACTCTAGAGGGGGGGGGGTGAATAGAGTTGTTCTCAAGAATGTGCGTTTTTCGCGTGTGTGAAATAATAGAATCGCAGGAATAAAATAAAGAGAGTAAGGGAAAGAAGAACACTGAGATTTATACTGGTTCACCACCTCGTGGCTAATCCAGTCTTCCGAGAGACTCTCTCGAAAGTCCTACTAATCTTCAAGCTTCAACGGGTGCTTGAAAAACCGATACAACTTGAGAACTTGAATCACACAAGCCTCACTTTCTTACAACAACAAGACTTGAGTCACACAAGTCTTACAGACAACACTCAAAAGAGATTAAGTTTACAACACAAGAATGAAAGCTCACACAATTGAGCAAGTAGTGTTTGAAAGATTTAAGCTCTATGGATGACAACTTCTTTAGCACTCAAAGAAAATATTTCTAACTCAAAAATAATATTTTGATGAGGAAGATGAAGCAAAGGATGAATATAGCTCAAAGAATATATTGGAGTGCAAGAGGTGTGTATTGAAATGAAGGAGAATGAGGGATTAAATAGGCTGAGGAAAATAAAGCCGTTGAAGAAAGCTGATGTTCTGTACCAGAGAGAATTAATCGATTAAATTAGGAATTTTAATCGATTAAAGTGTACAGAAGCGAAAAGGCTTGAAACCAAAAGTGGAATTAATCGATTAAAAATGAGGGAATAATCGATTATTCTGTTCTGTTTGAACTAATCGATTAAATGAATAATTTTAATCGATTAAGTTGATTTGCCTGAGAAAACCAACGCTGTGAAATTGGATCTAATCGATTATTTTAGAGTAAATAATCGATTAAAGTAAAAAATAATG